AGGGGCGGGTGGCAAAGAGGAATCGCACCCTCAGCTGGTATTGCCCTATCGGGCTACACTCCCTCCTTGCCTGGCCGGCCTGGGGCTGGGTTGGGAGGATTTCCGCAGGCTGCCCCACGCCCACCATAGACTGGCTGGTGAGCAAGAAGGGAGCACGCACCGACCGGGTGCCCTTGCTCAGCAACGTACGTCTCCTTCCCTCAGTCAGTGCTCGTGGTGGTGGTGGTAGCGTCCCCATTTTACCCATTGGGAAACCGAGGCTTTTATGAAGTTAAGAGAGCTGTCAGGGTCAGACATCAGTAAAGTGGTGGGGCAGGGTTTGAGCACCTACTATGTGCCAGGCAATATTCTAGACACCAAATATACAACAATGAGTAAACAGACAAAAATCCCTGTCCTCAAGGAGTTTATATTCCAGTGTGGAGGAGGAGGGTGGGAAGAATAGACAATGAACAAAATACCTGAAAATACCAAATGTCAAATCCACTTATGGCCACCAGAGGGCACTGTAATTCTTCCATCGTCCATTCTCTGATTCCACTTTCCATTTTCCCTTCCAGGTTCCAAAGATAATAGCCATGGAGGCTATGAATACTAAGTGTAGCATCTGCTCAAGAATGAAAGCTGAGCCATGACCGGTTTGGCTCAGTGGATAGAGCGTCGGCCTGCGGACTGAAAGGTCCCAGGTTCGATTCCGGTCAAGGGCATGTACCTTGGTTGCGGGCACATCCCCAGTTGGGGGTGTGCAGGAGGCAGTTGGAGGCAGTTGGTTGATGTTTCTAACTCTCTATCCCTTTCCCTTCCTCTCTGTAAAAAAATCAATAAAATATATTTAAAAAAAGAAAAGAATGAAAGCTGAAGGGAGTGTGTATGTGTGTGTACACCCAGTAGTTCCTTCTTTACCTACTTTTCCAGGTTAATCCCCTTATCAGATCCCCATCCAATTGCCCAAGGTATCTCAGTGACTTTTCAAGGCCTTGTGTATTCCAGAGATCACCAAGACTCATATTCACTCACCAACCCATGCGTCCTCTCTACCTACCCACCTTCTCACCCCTCCTCCATCTGCCCTCCTGGCCACCCTCTTATCCACCCACTCAGCTTCTCTCCGTCTTAATTCTCAGCTACCTCCTTCCATGTATCCATCCCTTGCCACACCTCCACCCACTCGCCAACTGGAGCACTCAGTCTAAAGCAGTGGTTCTCAACCTTCTGGCCCTTTAAATACAGTTCCTCATGTTGTGACCCAACCATAAAATTATTTTTTTAAAAATATATTTTATTGATTTTTTACAGAGAGGAATGGAGAGGGATAGAGAGTTAGAAACATCGATGAGAGAGAAACAATCAGCTGCTGCCTCTTGTACACTCCCTACTGGGTAGGTGCCCACAACCAAGGTACATGCCCTTGACC